TCATATCTTATGTCATTATTTGTTTACCTTCCCCACTGCAAATCACATCTTATTTTCAGATAACATGGAAGAGAAGTCTAAAAAAAGAGTGTGCATCGGTCTTCCAAAGACATACATGGCTGCTTTGGCTAAAAAGTATGATCTGGTAAACAATTTCTCTCATTCTTACAGGCACTTGTTTCATCTTGTTGACCTAAGCTACAATATGGCATGAAGCTCATGATTTTCTATCATTTAACAGGACCATGGGTTGATCATAACAGAGCTGAACCCCTATGTAAATGCAGGATATGTACAAGCTTACTTTAAAGAATGGGGAGTCATCACAGCGTGTAAGGTAAACACTGACAAAAACACTGCTTTTTTTTCATGCCTTTTGTTAGCATATTCTTAAAAAAAAACTACGAAGTTATATGAGAATTTGTCAGTGAATTATACAAATTACCGTTATCTGTTGAATTCCGTCCCAGGTTAAGAAGAGCCCCAAATCAGGGGACAATAAGGCAGTGGCCTATGTGAGGTTTTCTTCAGAGGATGAAGCTGACCGAGCAGAATGGGCCGGTCCTCACTACATCGGAGGCGATGTGAAAGTAAAACGAGTTGTTAGTCCAAAGGTTTGTTTTATGCCTGTTTGCCGGACATAAAATAGAAAACAGCATTTGATTTTAAAAGTGTACATTTGCTTTCTTCCTTCTCCAATGGCTGACAAAAAAAAATCTGTCTCCCAGATGGAGGAGAATTCTGCTGAGGACCGCTGCCCAGCGATTGCTGTGCCTCGACCTCGGCGTTCGATGGGCTTGGGCTACATACTGGAAGATGAGAGTGGTTAGATAATGAGTCGGCAACTTTATCTTTAGAAGTTTAAAAATCCTAAATGTATGTGTAAAAAATGTTGGGGTTGTCAACTAACTTGGCTCATAAAAATCTGCGAGTCTGCTGTGAAATATTCTGGAACCCCGAGGACTAAAAACACAAGAATATAAATAGTCCTCAGCTATATAACAACACATATCCTGTTTGTTTATCTGTTTAGCCTTAAGTGAGTTGCTGTGATACACATTATTCTGCTGATGCTATGTTGTGTGTTATTATAATAAAAAGTTAAACTATATTCTATGTGTTTAATGTTTGTCAAGGACATAGTGGTGATACAAAAATATATAGTTTTAATGTTAACTCTCTTAGTGCAGCCACTGTTGGTGAATGCAATGTGATTTGTAGGTTGAAAATTGTTGAAAATGCCTCACATTATTGCTGCTAATGGTTTTGACAGCCTCAATTTTGTCTTTTCTTACTTTGACATAAACATCAACTACAGGTCAATGGAAAATATAAAAAAAATAGTGTGTAGCCTGTATAAACTACCAAATGAGGTATTATCACAAATGTCATCAGTGAATATAACGTAAAAATAAAAATACTTATCAAAAAACAAATGTATAAGACATTTATAACTGGCTAAAGAGATGAACCAATCAAAAAATCTAAACAAATGTATTTCGTATTATTAGGCTACATCTTAATATTGTTTTTCCGTATACTGAGGGGCGGGTCGAATGACGTCAGAGACCATTGACCAATCGCTACGCAGAGCGCCAACATCCCCTCACAGCGTTGAAAACATGGCGGAGAGAGACGAGGAAGTTGGATTCAAAAAGGTAGAAGGAGACATCGCTGCTTTGGTTATGGTTGTTCATACTTACTCGGTTTCCCCCATGTGGTTGAATAAAGACGAAGATGGCCTCTTCTATTGTCGCGGAATTGCATTTTATTCGCATACACGCCAAACCGTGTTCATGGAGTACATGAGTTGTTCCTTAATTAACTGTCACACGAAGATATTATTCAGTAAATTGACATATATCTGTGCGCCGAATGGAGGAACGGTTCATAATGGTAAAAAAAAGGAGTGCTTTGTATTCATTATTCCGGGATAACACCAGCGTTAGTTACGTTCACCCGTTAAATTAACGTTTTTCCAACGGCAGTTTGGTACGCATCACCAAATTACAAGATGCACTGATTATGTTATTCACGCGAGAAAAGCCTATTGAGAGTCTCTATTCTCCTCATTCACAGGAAACAGTCAGCAAACTGTTGTCAGGTTTCTTCAAGGAGGACAGAACCAGACGTGAGTTGGATAAATATGTATTTATTTGTTGATATATGTCACATCTCCAAACTGTTTCATTTGGCTCATTCTGTCACAGTAAGCAGTGATGCTGTGCTCCTCGTGACAGAGTTGCTGAAAATATTTGTCCAAGGTAAGGAGTTGTCTTTTTTTATTTATTTATTTTTTTGACAGTTGCACACAGATGCCTTTAACCTTTTTTTTAATGTGTTTTCTCATTTCCAGAAGCCGCTGTGAGATCACAGAAACAAGCCGAGTCGGAGGACTGCGACCAAGTGGACATCGAGCACTTTGAAAAGATTCTGCCTCAGCTGGTGCGTTTAGCTCAGCAGGTTTTAACACGTCATTCAAGAGCCATCAATAGGGATCATAAGGCTGCTCCAGTGTCCCGTGTAATCTATATCTGTTCCTCAGACCAGCAGGGCATTTCAGGATATGCCATTTTTCTTATTTGGCTCCTGAATTCTGCATAACATACGTTATTGTACCTGCTGCCTGTATTACAGCTAATCACAAGAACAAGTATAGGGCCTTCCATTTGATCCCTGACCCCGTTATTCTTGTATTTTAGTCAATATTCTTCATATTGTTGATATTTACTATATATTGTTGACATGACTCAGGTATATGAGGCATTCAGTGCCTACAGGTGTACAAGTTAAATCCATTTTTCCTGAAATCCCATCCTGGAGCGTCTCAAACTGCCGGTAGTTTGCTTGTTAAATAAAATGCTGGTCAAACATAAAGAACAAACTGGATATAAGACATCATCAAAAGCTTCCATTATTAATCTCGCTGCCTTTCATCTCTCTCTTCCGATGCAGCTGCTGGACTTCTAGCTCAAGTGATGCCACAAGATGGAGCCAGAGTGTTGCCGGCGTGTCGCTGCTCAAATCCCACATTTTCAATTCCAACATGTTTATTTTTCTCTGTTTCGTTGCAATGTCACTGAAATCTGCGATAACATTAAAAAGCTCATCCCGTATGTATTCGAGTTGTGTGATTTTTATTTTTTTTTATTTAAAAAAAAAAAAAATAGAAAGCGACTGCACTGTCCGCACGCCGCCACCCCACCACCGATAAGGCCCACCTGTGCTCCTCTGTGCAACAACAGGTGCTTCCAGCATGCATAGTGCCCTTCATCAAAGCCTACTGGAGCAGTTGGAAGCAATTAGAGTAATAAGGGGAGCAGCCAGTCCCTTAGATGATGACAAGTGCCAGGAAAAAAAGGAGTACCCCCTCCGGCCACTTTGAAGTTCCCTTTTGCTGTCCTGCGATGTTTAGTTAGAGGTGGGGGGGAAGGGCAAAGGGGACCTCTGGCACGGGGGGAAAGTTGAATGGGAGTGTGCGTGCGCGAACGTGTGCACGTGTTGGCCAAACATGGCCGGGGACCACACGCATAGATATTCTGTTTGAAAGGGAACATAACAAAACACATTGGAACACGGTCCAAGAAGAGCAGGGTGTAATTCTGAAGGTAAATAAACAAAAGGAGGCGAGTATAGTCGACGTGCTTTCTCTCCTCTCACCACAGCAGACGGGGAAGTTAGGCCTACAAGGGAGCGAGAGAGAGAGAGAGGGTAATGTGGGGTTTTCTAACCCGAGTGCCTCAGATGGTTTTTCCACTCAGTGGTGTATTTGACCAACGTGTCTTCAATATGAGTCAGCATAGCTGTACAACACCTCACATTATTTATTTGTGTGGCTTGTGAGTGACTCACTATGCGCTTACAAATGCTGCTCACATACAGCTGGAAGCAACTTGGGGGCTAAATTCAAGCGTCCAGGCTCACAGAGGTGCTCAAGGACACCAGCACCTGGAGTTTGACCCGGCACCCTTTTAGTATCGGACCCAGACTGGATTTGTGTTTCACAGGAGAAACTTCCACAGCAGGCCTTCAGGAGAGCGTGTTTGGTTGAGTGAAGGGTTTTTTTTTTAATGATGCCATGAGGAGCAGGTTAATGATTACACTTATTCACAGCAACAAGTCTTGCCCTCTTGTTTTGAGAAGTACAGCAAACTGCAGATCTACCGCTTTGACGCCTGCTCACTCAAATGAAATTATTTCATTGTGACGGCAAATAATCTTGCTGAAAAAGTACAATACATCTTTATTTATTAACACTGTAAAAAACAAATGAAAAAAAAGGTGTATTACATGGACTGTATATAGGCTTTCTGGGGATTTATTAGAGATGAAATGGATCTCCAGCTGTCAATCCTTGCAGATGAAATAAAAACAATTATTCTGTTGGATCCCCCATCTTTCTCTTCTTTTCCACAATCTGAGTGGTCCGGAAGGTCTCCGTCCTGGTGAAGTGGCGCACTACTGTACAATCTTTCTCCTTATGCATCTTAGTGGAACAAATTACATCTGAAGGCAGTATTATTAAACATGCGAAAGCAGTTAGGACAAGAATGGGAAGGGGCGTTGAAGAGAGTAATGAGTTAAAGCTTTTCTTGATCATACATTAAAGGCAGGGAGTGTCGACAGCCAGTCCAGACATCTTTGGAGAAGCTCTGGAGTGAGAAGCTTTTCCCAGGAGAAACAGACTGATCCGTCTCCAGCCTTTTGGCTGGTCTTTGGACAGCGCTGCACTATAGGCCCTCATCGCTTGAAGATATCTGCCTTGATTGTAGCCATCAACATCCATACTGATTTTATATAGATGCACTTGTAAATGTCCGGAGGATTCTTTCGAATAAAGTATCCTTCATGTATACATTCTGGGATGACCTGTCCTCTATAGGTTTTACTTTCCATTTTTTAATACAAATACAAAAGGAAGCTGTACCAAAGTCTGGTAAGGCTGTGTGGTAACTGTAATCCTGGTTTAGTGTGATGATCGTCAGGGGTGGAGTCGCCCGCATCGGTCTTAAGAGTCCCTGTGAAGGTCTGTTACGATTATGTCAGATTTCACTCCTTAATTCCCGACTCACTGGTCTGTGGTTGTTTTTAGAATGACACAGCTTCTTGACTCTTTCCAACTTTCTGTCATCTCGCAGCTCCTTTCTTCTCGGGCCCAAACTAGAGTCCCTTCTAGGACAAGTGATCATAATACACCCATTTCCCCGACGGCTGGATTTTCTGAGATGGCAGTAACAACATTCAAGCAGGCAGTCTGAAGTGTATGAGCTACATCAAAGTTTGTGAGCTCATATAGCACATTAAACATTCGCTCTTACAGTGAATGTGTACATAAAACATTTACTGTATATTCATCATTTTCATCAGTAATGCTACTACTAAGTCCTTGCTCTATTTATCTGACGGGCCTTGTACTCTTTTGAATCTGGTTAAAACATTTGGTTGACGGTATGAAGTCTGGGAAAGACAAAAAGACAAAAATTTAAATTCTTGCAAAGACCGCAGACGATGGGAAATCTTAACCGACAAAAAGCTACAGGTGTCATCTGCCATTCGTGCCATTTTTTACCCCCAACATTTCAACTACACATGTTTGTGAGTTCTTATGTAATAAATATGTGATGGCATGCATCTGCTCTCAGATGTTTGTGTGCATGTATGTGCTTGCATGCATGTTGTGCTTGATCTGGGGCTGTGATGCATTAGTGCCGAGGAGACAAGAGGCCCTTGTGGCCCCCTTATGGGCATGGAGCTGTCTAACCATGAAGGAATGCTGCAGGGGACACAGAGCGAGTGCATTCCTCTTAGATGCTCCACACGCAACTCACGCACACATGAAAAGTTACAAACATTTACATCGCTGTCAAAAAAGGAAAACACAAACAAAACATCGGCGGCCGTTTGGTGCGCACATGCTTTTTACAGAAAGTTTGCATGTGTTGAGAGAATGCAAATACAGAGGCGGCATCTCTGTTGACTGTGTATACTGCTGTGACATGCAGGTTTCCTGGAGGCCCCGGGCCTCTCTGAGGGTCCTGGGGTCCTGAGCTAAGCTTTGTTAAGGAGCCACGGGGCCCACGCCGGGGATGATTAGAACATACCTGGAAGTTTGAGCCACTTGGGTGCTCTGCTGGGATCACTCTTAACTGATTGTGGCGCTTGGCTGTTAGTCTTAGGTTGGAGATGGTCTGCTGCTGTGCTCTGTGTATCGGCCGGGGCTTTGGTAGCCGCAGGGGGCGGAAGGGATTCTTCCGGAACCATTGAGGTGGATGATAAGGTCAAAGACCTTCGCATGCAGCTGAAGAGGGAAAAGGGAGCAAGAGAGATGTACAATTAGGCCCGCAGCTGGGTTATTTCTGGAGCCCTGTACTACCTTAACTGCATTACCCTCCTCTTCCACCCCAAGTCCCCTCTACTCTCTGTCTCCACCTCCATGCTCTGTGTGGTGGCCCACATGGTCAGGGCATAGGCAATAACAACAGAGTAATCCCCTTACATAACACCGCACAAACTCAACGAAACAAGGCCATTCAATTATTTTTGGGAGCGTCTAAAAATAAAGAAGCAATTCGGTTGAGGTGACGTCAAAAGCGCCGTGTGTGTGTGTAGCGGGTGGGGGGCGGTGGACCTCAAATAAGCCGCAGAGACCCAACTGGACCAGAGGTCAGCAGAGCACTCTATTTTTAGGTCCCATCAAAAGCAGTGGTATAAAATTAGTCAAGCTCTGACCCTCGCAAGATCTGTCAGTCACGCTTAGAGAAGCCGTGAACTTGAAGGTCACGCACTCGCAATGATGAAAGGGCCGATGTTTGATGATATTTAAAAAGGGAGCAAGTAATGACCGAAATCTCTTCAGCTGGTGGCAGGCGGCACAGTGTGAGGTTGGCCTTTGTTAGACTTGTTAAAGGACTTAATCAGATGACACGTGAAACCCTCTGCAACGGGCTAATATTAACTGCAATAACACCGCGCATATTGTTTGGACAAAAGTGGTGAACGGGGCAAACTGTTGCTTGACTTTGATGTAAAGTCTGGGGCGATGTGTGACCATCAGTTAGAGTTTTTAAGCATCAGCACGGCTTTGCATCAGATTGTCTCTCTCAGCGTATGTGGATAAAACAAATCTCAAGCCTGATGGAGGCTTGTGTAAACAAGAGTTAAGGGTACTGGCTCAAAACAAGTCTGGCTTCCAAATTCCCTCCACAAGTCCAGAGGCCAGCATGTTGACTGTCTGTCCTCACAGTGGTCGGGGGGCACCGGAACTCGAAATTAGCCCTGGTGAGTCAACGGGACAGCTTTCATGTAGACAAGGGATCATGTCAGATTGCAGGAGAGGTCAGGATGTTAGGGTCAGAGGTCAGGATGCAGTGTTGGTCCTCGTCTTTAACAGCTTCCTGTCTGCTGTGTTGTGCAAACTTGAATGGTAATCCCTTGTGATACAGGTTCAAAGCAAAAGGATTGCCTCACCCTTTGGTACAGGTATGGGACTCATCACTCTACTTGGTCGGTCCACCACTTTGATCCAGGATGAAATATTTTACCAACTAACGGATGGATTGACATGACATTTGGTGCAAATATTCATGTTTTTGAGTGGATGATTCCAACCAATTTTGGTTGATCCCCCGATTTCTCCTGTGGTTTTGAGAACTTTCATGTTGGAATTAATTCTTGAACTTTCATCTCACACTTTCACCAGATCAAAAATGTGTCCAATACTTTGGTTTATGACTAGAAACCTGCAAAACTAATGACAATCCCCTCAGCCTCAGCTATTTAGCATGTTGACATACTAATCTCAGATGTTGAGCCTGGTAAACATTGGTAAACATAACCCTAACCCATAGACTACCCCAAACCTGATCTAGTGGCTTTGATAATGTAATGCAGGAGGACAGTAAACATTATTGATCAAATCAGATATAGTCTTTCTGGCCCTCTAATCTCAGAAAATCTGCTTGAAATGTGTAAGATCTGTAGCAGTTCACTATCACAATTTATTTGGCATCGGTTTCTTCAAACAAATCCTGAACCACAACCTTTCAAATTTCAAGGTCTGCACTTAAAAAAATGATTTGATCTTTGACATGAATGTTTCATTTCAAAATATAAAACA